TATCAAGGACTTCATCCAAGATTCCAATCACAAAGGCGCTTCGTTCTTCTGGTGAATCATCCTTCGGAAGAGCACGACGACGGGGAAGCAAGTCGGAAGATGACATCATCATCTTGTGCATAGCAGATTTCAATAACGACGATGATTGCGTTCGTGATAAGTTGTTGTTGGATTGAGTAGTCATGCTAGAATTGGTTGATGTTTGGTAAACTGGCGATTGATTCTGGTTGGCAATCTTGATTTGTGAGAGCAATGTCGTGATGGGTGATGTGTGATGTACGAAATCTAATCCTGGAATTTTGCACGCGAGTACCGGTAGAGTACCGCAGTTTTGTCGGACGAGTGTCGCGTTTTGTCTACAATATACGTGTACCTTAATTGAACACACAGAAACCGATATCCTGGAGGAGTTCGGTTCGTATTTGATCAGAGATGTCAGTTAGCCGCTCTTCTTGAACCTGTGGGTAGTTCGGTACCGTACCCATGTGTACTCAGTTGTGATTTTGCTTCAACCTTAAATCCCGAAGGTCAAGATACCTTCGGTGATTTGAGTACCGTCATGTTTTTGGAGAGTTGTAACAACCCACAAGGAAGGGGTTTGTAATCAGCGACCAGTACCAGGTACCAATTTAGCGAGTAGAGTTTGTGTCATGCGGATCTAATCGCAACTATGCCATGGGTATGGTAACTTCCACCGTACATTTCGCGACCATAGAATAGAAGGGTGAAATGACAAATGTTCTTTACAATCCTACTCTATAGTACCTTTCCTCTGCCAAGGATAGCTGAAGTAAAAATATATCGTCTTGAAGTCGAACGTCCCAGAGGGAGAAAAATCTCCCTTACTTGCTTTCTGTTCTGAACAAACAAGGAACAAATGATTCATGACTCTACAAAATATTGAATACTCTTCGAGCTCATGAATAAGTGTATCTGTAGGAAATATTGTATCTATATCTATATTTACATTTTGGTTTTTACATTGTAGCAGTGGCAGGAAACCTATGTGGTTGTGTCACCTCCTCTTACAACCCGCAGTCTGAGTTGGTGCCGAAGTCGAGATCGTCGTCGTCATCGTCTTCGAACAAGTCGTCATTCAGAATGTCAAGGACTTCATCCAAGATTCCAATCACGAAGGCGCTTCGTTCTTCTGGTGTATCATCCTTTGGAGGAGCACACGGAAGCAAGTCGGAGGACGGCATCACCTTGTGCATCTTGTGCAAAGAAGACTTCAGTGACATTTGGGGGCGACTTAGTGACAATTGGGTCATGGTGTTGTTGGATTGAGTAGACATGATATGATTGGTTGGTGTTTGGTAAACTGGCAATTGCTTCTGGTGGCTGGAAGTATGGATTTGTGAGAGCAATGTGATGGGTATTATAATGGGGGTATGAAATCTGATCCCGGAAATTTTGGACAGAACGGCACCCGCCTTACCGCAGTTTTGTGTCGAGAGGGTTGTCTTTCTGCCATGTCTATGTCTATGTGAACCCATGTCCTTTAATTGATAAGACAGAAAGCCGATGTTCTTGGAGAACAAGACTGATATAAAAGATCGGTTTGTGTGTCTGATCAGATTATGTCAATTAGCCTCTCTGCTTGACCATTTGTGTACGGTACAGTACATTGTGTACCCAACTGTGATATTTGTGTCGGGACCTTGAAAACGCCGAAGTTCAACTTAACCTTCGGTGTATTGAGTACCGTGGTGTTTTCGGGGATACCATCACCCTCGAAGAACATAGTTTGTAATCAGGGGTGTGCAATACGTTAGGTTCTTTGGGAACTGGCATTTTCGACAAATTATATACTAGTCTCACTTTTTAATGCAATGATGCAAACCATGGATTGCCGTTGGACGCTAGCTGACCACAGCAGCCCTCTGCCATTCCCCACGAAGACACTTCCCAATGAGATACATGCATCACAGTCCAGCTACGCACTGGTTTCCATGTTGACCATTGGGGACGATGATGATTCTATTTTTGAAGAATCTCCTGCCAGCCTCTTATGCGAATCGGGCTTGCCAACGAGTGCAATCAACAAGAACAAGAACAAGAACAGGCAGGCGAAAGGGACCACTGTTTCTGGAGATGAGGAGCGACTCGTCCTTCGTGAAAACCGTAATTCTTCCATGCCTATGTTGCAGCCGCAAAGGAGAAAATCAATAGAGGACTTCTCACACATCGAATCAGCCCTCAACGCTGTCTTCGATATCATTGAGGCTGCCGAGGGTGACGATTGCCAGTGGAATTTTGCTGAAAGTTTGCGCGGAGACTTCAACGATGAAGTTTCAGAATCGAAATGGTCCTCACCTGTGACGACCAAGGTCCTACAGAAGCCAGTACGAAGGTCTAGCCTTGTTTATGCTCCGCATTCTCACCTTCGATCAGCGCAGTAGCAGGAGACAGTCCAAGAAAATTTTTCAGGGTATCACCGGGTCACATGACCTGTTGAACCCACCAAAGAGACAGAGCACAATTTTGCCGTGGCATAATGTAAAGCCACATTGAAACTAAATCTAGATACAAATATTATTCGATACAGATTCATTTATCATTAGTAGAAAACTGAATAGAATAGACAGGTTGCCGTATAGTTACTTTTACACGGGACAAATATCTCTCTACATAATATCGAGTAGTGTGATTCGAGTACTAAAAGTACGGGTATCTTCAGCAGGATACATGGCCCTCTTCCCAAACTAAAATTGCTTTGTGTTCTGTAAACAAGGAACAAATGCATCATCATGTCTCCAGTACACAATATTGAATACTCTTCGAGCTCATGAATAAGTGTATCTGTAGGAAATATTGTATCTATATCTATATTTACATTTTGGTCTTACATTGTAGCAGTGGCAGGAAACCTATGTGGTTGTGTCACCTCCTCTTACAACCAGCGGTCTGAGTTGGTGTTGAAGTCGAGATCGTCGTCGTCATCGTCGTCGTCGTCGAACAAGTCGTCATTCAGAATGTCAAGGACTTCATCCAAGATTCCAATCACGAAGGCGCTTCGTTCTTCTGGTGTATCATCCTTTGGAGGAGCACACGGAAGCAAGTCGGAGGACGGCATCACCTTGTGCATCTTGTGCAAAGAAGACTTCAGTGACATTGGGGGGCGACTTAGTGACAATTGGGTCATGCTGCTGTTGGATTGAGTAGACATGATAGGATTGGTTGGTGTTTGGTAAACTGGCAATTGCTTCTGGTGGCTGGAAGTATGGATTTGTGAGAGCAATGTGATGGGTATTATAATGGGGGTGTGAAATCTTATCCCGGAATTTTGGACAGAACGGCACCCTTACCGCAATTTTGTGACGACGGGTGTCTTTCTGCCATGTCGATGTCTATGTGAACCCATGCCATTTAATCGATAAGACAGAAAGCCGATGTTCTTGGAGAACAAGACTGATAAGAAAAGTTCGGTTTGTGTAGTCTGATCAGATTATGTCAATTAGCCTCTCTTCTTGACCATTTGTGTCCGGTACAGTGACGTACATTGGGTACCCAATTGTGATATTTGTGTTGGGACCTTACGCCGAAGTTCAACTTAACCTTCGGTGTATTATTGAGTACCGTGGTGTTTTCGGGGATACCATCACCCTCGAAGAACTGAGTTTGTAATCAGGGGTGTGCAATACGTTAGGTTCTTTGGAGAACTGGCATTTTCGACAATTATAAAATATAGTCTCACTTTTTAATGCAATGATGCAAACCATGGATTGCCGTTGGACGCTAGCTGACCACAGCAGCCCTCTGCCATTCCCCACGAAGACACTTCCCAATGAGATACATGCATCACAATCCAGCTACGCACTGGTTTCCATGTTGACCATTGGGGACGATGATGATTCTATTTTTGAAGAATCTCCTGCCAGCCTCTTATGCGAATCGGGCTTGCCAACGAGTGCAATCAACAAGAACAAGAACAAGAACAGGCAGGCGAAAGGGACCACTGTTTCTGGAGATGAGGAGCGACTCGTCCTTCGTGAAAACCGTAATTCTTCCATGCCTATGTTGCAGCCGCAAAGGAGAAAATCAATGGAGGACCTCTCTCACATCGAATCAGCCCTCAACGCTGTCTTCGATATCATTGAGGCTACCGAGGGTGACGATTGCCAGTGGAATTATGCTGAAAGTTTGCACGGAGACTTCAACGATGAAGTTCCAGAATCGAAATGGTCCTCACCTGTGACGACCAAGGTCCTACAGAAGCCAGTGCGACGGTCGAGCCTTGTTTATGCTCCGCATTCTCACTATCAATCAGCGCATTAGCAGGAGACAGTCCGAGACAATTTTCAGGGTATCACCGAGTCACATGGCCTGTTGAACCCACCAAGAGACAAAGTACAATTTTGCCGTGGCATAATGTAAAGCCACATTGAAACTAAATCTAGATACAAATATTATTCGATACAGATTCATTTATCATTAGAATAGACAATAAGTTGCCGTATAGTTACTTTTACACGGGACAAATATCTCTCTACATAATTAACTAGACTAGCCATATTCAATATCGAGTAGTGTAATTCGAGTACTAATAGTACGGGTATCGGCAGCAGGATACATGACCCTCTTCCCAAACTAAAATTGCTTTGTGTTCTGTAAACAAGGAACAAATGCATCATCATGTCTCCAGTACACAATATTGAATACTCTTCGAGCTCATGAATAAGTGTATCTGTAGGAAATATTGTATCTATATCTATATTTACATTTTGGTCTTACATTGTAGCAGTGGCAGGAAACCTATGTGGTTGTGTCACCTCCTCTTACAACCAGCGGTCTGAGTTGGTGTTGAAGTCGAGATCGTCGTCGTCATCGTCGTCGTCGTCGAACAAGTCGTCATTCAGAATGTCAAGGACTTCATCCAAGATTCCAATCACGAAGGCGCTTCGTTCTTCTGGTGTATCATCCTTTGGAGGAGCACACGGAAGCAAGTCGGAGGACGGCATCACCTTGTGCATCTTGTGCAAAGAAGACTTCAGTGACATTTGGGGGCGACTTAGTGACAATTGGGTCATGGTGTTGTTGGATTGAGTAGACATGATATGATTGGTTGGTGTTTGGTAAACTGGCAATTGCTTCTGGTGGCTGGAAGTATGGATTTGTGAGAGCAATGTGATGGGTATTATAATGGGGGTGTGAAATCTGATCTTGGAATTTTGGACAGTACCGCAGTTTTGTGACGACGGGTGTCTTTCTGCCATTTCGATGTCTATGTGAACCCATGCCCTTTAACTGATAAGACAGAAA